GCACCAGCTTCAGGCCGAGGCTGTACCCGGGGCACATCCGCCGACCCGCCCCGAACGGCAGCAGCTCGAAGTGGTGTCCCTTCACGTCGATCGGGCTACCCACGAACCGCTCCGGCCGGAACTCCTCCGGAGCGTCCCACACGGCCGGGTCGCGCCCGATGGCCCACACGTTCACCAGCACCCCCGTCCTGGCGGGGATGTCGTAGCCGTCGACGGTGGTGTGCTCGCGGGAGAACCGAGGTATGAGCAGGGGCGCCACCGGGTGCATCCTCATGGTCTCCTTTACGATGGCCTCGATGTACGGAAGGCGGTGCACGTCCTCCTCCTCGACCCACCGGCCGCGGCCGATCACCCGGTCCAGTTCCTCGGTTGCCTTGTCGAAGGTCTCGGGTCTTTTGAGGATCTCAGAGATGGCCCATTCAATGGTTATGGTGGAGGTGTCGGTGCCGGCGACGAACATGTCCTATTCCGTCAGTCCAAGTAGAACAATATATTAACTAAACGATCTGCTTAAAGACAACCACAACGAAGACAACGGATATATGCAGACCAGAATGAAGGCCTTGAGGCAATGTCTCTCGAGCTTGACTTCCAGACCGTCATCATCGGCCAACTCCAAGAGCACGTCCGCCATGTCCCTGGGGACGAATGCCTTCCCTTCTCGGCGACGCCGCTCGTTGTGCTCGTCGAGCACGTGCTCCAGGAACCTGTCGAACCTCTTGCCCAGCATCTTCATCCTCTTCACATAGCCCTGCAGGTCCAGGAAGTTCAGCCAGGGTATCAAGTCGCCGACGTTGATGACGCCGTTGAGCAGCAACAGCTCCTCAACCATCTCCTTGAACTCCTCCTGCGGGACGATCGCCGTGGGCGCCACCGACGACAACGACTGCTCCTGCGTGTACTTCCTTCCCAACACCATGCGGCTCATGATGTTGAGGTTGATAGTGAAAAGGTGGTCCTTGAGGAGGACAGGCGTCTCTGCGGACCTGAAGAGGTCCTGGAGGAGGCAGCGCACCTCCTCCACCCGGATGTATTGGTAGGAGTCCAGCCGCTTGGTGGTGAAGAGCTCCATGATGCAGATCCTGCGTGCCTGCCGCCAGTAGGGGCCGTAAGGCGACCAACCGATGTCGGAGTAGTTGTAGAAGGTGTACTTGCCGGCGGCGGTCTTGCGGCGAGAGACGAAGGAGAGGTCATGGGTCTTGAGGAAGAACTTGGCCATGTCGACGGAGGAGCCGACGACGACCGGGAAGGAGCCGAAGCGGAGGTGCATCAGGGGGCCGTGCTTTTGGGCGAGGGCGGCGAGGGAGCGGTAAGGCAGACGACCAATGAGGTTGAGGTTGCCAATGACGGGCCACGGCCTCGGCCCAGGTGGGAGGTTGAGTTTGCGGCGGCGGCGGCCGCCGGCGAGGGCTGTGAGGAGTGTGAAAACTAGTACAATGGCCAAGTATATGGCCGACAATGGTATCTCCATTGGTGACGAGGAGGGAGGAAGAGGAGTTCAATCACTTGTTGTGATGGAGCTCATTTAGAGGTTTATTTATAGATAGCCAAGCAATAATTTGTGATTGTTGTGATGAGCTCATTCTCTATAGCTTCGTTGATAGCATCACCTCATATCCTCTAAGAATACAAATGGTTCCATCCTTTTGTTGACGATCATATCACAACACCAATCACAAAAGTAAAATATTAAAAAAATTTAAATTTCAAATACTAATGATAATGTCTTCTTCAAAATTTTATAACTTTGATAAATTAGGATATAAATATATACTATAAATTATTTAAATTATTTCATTTTACTTGTTGAGATCAGTCATTAAATAAAGAGACATGTTATATTGCATAAATTATTTTATAGCAAGATGATATTTTCTGGACTTGACTGTGAAGATAAATTTTTGTTTGTTTAAATTATACCAAATAGTTGATGCCGTTGTCATCTTTTCATTTTTCCTTTTCTGTCTCCTGACGTCATCGTCATCTTTTCCTTTTTTAGCTTTGTTCTGAATGGTAAACTTCTGTTCATTAGTTCCACTGATAAGAGAAAAACTACAATAAAAATTAACATATATATATATATATATATAATTTATCTGATGAATTTGTCATGAGATTGGTTCAATCTTCAAGCCCTAATTTACTTGTGATTCATCAAACTACTCCTCAGGAGCATGATAATAATAAGATTGGCTAATATTGCTCAGCAAGATATAATTATATAATAAATTATAAGAAGATTTATGATATGTAATTTTGATATTAAAAATAATATAATATTTGATATTAAACATAAAAAAAGACCTTCGAAAGAAATATTTTTTGGTAGATTTGCAAAGAAATCTGAGATGAGAACAAACAAGGAGGCAAGACACATGCCTATTGTCGGGAAGTGCCTGCTGTTGATTGAATGAAAAGACCACTGATTTGCCTTCTCACTATTCACTAATAGTTTTCTTCCATAATTATGATGAATGTGGAAGTACAACTGATGATATTATTTGGGAGAAGCACTTTTCAAATTATGAGAACTTAGCAAGCTTTAGAAGCAAGTAACAAAAAGTGAAGAAGAGTAAATGCAAGAGGAAACTGACTTGATTGATGAGGCATATTTTGGATCTCAATCACGTCACAAATTATGCACACCATGCCGTCGTCAAATCAGTATGAGTACTTTCATGCGTTAAACAGGATTTGTACTAAGGCATTTCTCGGCACATCCCGTCCCGAAAAGCTCGGGACGACATCGTATGGCGTCGTTCTTTGCATTCTGGGACGGCAACCGCACGAAGGTACCATCTTGCCCCTCAGGGATCGATCGTTGCGCCAAACTCGTGTGCGGCCGACCCTCGTACGATAGTATAAAAACTCCTGAGCGGTATCTGATCATGGGAGGCAAAAAAGAGAGAGGAAGAACAATAGCTAACTTAGTCGTCGAGGGGCCAAAGACGGGAACCACCCGACGAGGGCCTTATGTGCAGGAGAGCGATCGCCTTCGGATGTCCGACCGAGAAGCACCCCCGCCCCCCTCAGACAGCATCGGCACCTCGACCTACGGGCGAGATCGATCTCGACGCTTAGCCTCCCCTCTCCTCCGATCGTGAGCTCCTGACATCGACCCGTGAATCAGGCCATGCTAACTCACCCGTCACGATGCATCAATTCACCAACAATGCTAACAATAGGAAAGGGTTCAAAAAAAAATGGGGAGTAAAAGCACAGGTTGATAATGGACTGAAACTTTTTGCATCCAATCATGATATTATGTCAAAGCAATCTAATGTTGTCACATAAAGAAGTTAGTGGTACACTTCAACGATCAAATATCAAATATGAGATTGTTTATGCCCTCAAGGAAGGATTTGAGAGAGCTGAAATTGAGTCCCCATGAAAACATAATATAATGATATTGTTAGATATATTTTTTTAAATTTTCTTTGATAAAAGATCCAATACACAGATAATCTGATGCTACACTACATTACTTACTATATATCAAATAAGTGGATGCTATTGTAGATGTCTACTCATCCCGACATGTCATTTCTTTCCTCATTAATACAAATAATAATTTAATATTTAATAGTTCCACAGATACCTACGTAATAAATAATGTGTGATGATTGCATATCATTTAACTGTTCACCGTCTTTTCTATAATTTGTCTATCGTTATCAACTTGTCAAAACTAGAGAGAAAAAAAATTATAGTGTTAAATTATATTTGATGTTAAATTAAATTTTATTTGATTCACACAAAGAGTGGGAAAAAAAAAAAAAGATTATAGTGTTCATTGCTTCCGCATATTTAGGACTTCAAGTATAACCTTTTCCCAACATTTCATTGTGAGCTTCTAACCAGTAAAAAGAAATCGGGACTAGGTTTTTGTGTTGATTCTCTTGTTATGTATATACTAAATACTAAATTAGATTAGAGCATGAGAGATCGAAAATTTGTTTGTGACGAGTTCTTGAATGGTCGTTGAACTGACCGTTGATGTTGACGAAAGAAGAGAGAAAAGAAGCAAAGATTGGTCGATAAGGGGTTTAATTAAGCGAAAGCATGATGAGGATTCTCTTTCTACGCATGATCATCATCATATATGTTAAAATGGGATATTCTAGTTGGATGATGCTAGTTAATTTGGTGAGCGAGGTATCATCGGAGGTCAACAAGATCTATTGGTTGAACGTGGAGTTGGATAGGTGAAGAAACTTAGGAATTGGCCATCACCATCTGACTAAGGTTCCCAGCCATTTGATGCAGGCAGAACAGGGAAGAGAGAGGGAAAGGCGAAAAAGGGACCAAATTCTGAGACTCCTCCTCCCGAGGATCACTAGCTTTTTATCTATCTTTTGAGGGGAATAGGAAAAAGCCAGTTAATTGATCCAAAGTTATTAGAAACGATCTCTGAGATGATGATTTGAAGTGGCATCTGAAATGATCAGAAAGATATTCCCTGAGGAGCTTCAGAAAACGTGTTAAAGGTTGCTTTTTTTTTTTTTCTCGATAATCATGATAGAAAATGGGGTTCCAATCTAATAATGCAGGAAGTCCATTTCACATTGTCATAGGTTCGAAACTGTTTTATTAGAAATAAAAAAATAAAACTTCGTGATTTGTGAGATGGTGATCGATTGATCGTTCCATTGGTTACTTAAAAAGGCATAAGAAATGCATTAATATTCTTTCTTATATGCAAACTTTTGTGTTTAATTAAAAATTATTTTAATTATTAAGAAACAAAATTATATAAATTCAAAATATTAATTTGAGAATTAGGGCCCAACCGGGTTCGAACCGGTGACCTATTGATCTGCAGTCAATTGCTCTACCACTGAGCTATGGACCCTCGATGTTAAAAGTTTAGTTAACAAATATTTGATGGTTATAATTGATATATTTATATTGACTCCCAACAACTTGATATATTTATATTGACTCCCAACAACGATTACTGGTGTTTTTATGTGATGACATCCACGTTTTACATTTTTTTATTCAAAAGGTTGCTTTTTCTTTGCTGACAGCAAAAATTCAATTGCACAACGTAAGCAACATCAAGTGAACATGATTATTTTTTCCTGCATTACCTAACAGGTGAACATGTTCGCCTTGAATTAGAAATTGCCAATAGAATCATTTATGTTGTCTTTTATGGGGATTATTTTCGCTGGAGCCCGACAGATGCGAGACAACAAGTATTGCATGCAAGAAGCAGATATTTGTAGATGGAGTTGGCAATGTTCCTAAAGACGTCACCAAGACGAAAGAATTGAAAGCGGAAAGTACCTCGAGAAGCTTGCGATGGCAGTCAGCACGAGATATGGCCCGATGTTACAATTAAAACATGTTAGGCAAGCATTTCACAAATTGCAGCGAAAAAAGTGCAAAACACAAATTTGAAATAAAATATGAACTTGAGAAATAATTAACTGTATGAGCTACCAATCTCCTCAAACAAGTTTATTAAACACAACGGAACCTCTTCAGCGGGATAACACCACTACTTGCACTCTGAAAAGTCGCTTCTAATGCTACCACATATGCTGCAGTATTTATACATCTGCCATCTGCCCTGCATACTCAGAATATTCTGATTCACTTTTTGGCTTTGCAGGATCTTCCTTCAGTTGCCTATCAGAAGGTATCCGTGGACCACCAGAAGGTGCCGAGTCCCCCCGACGCCAAGAAGGATCTCCTAACGATTTAAAGAATTCGTTTGTGATCTCCTCAGCTGCCTCCAGGAAATGACCGATGCCACCAAACAACCTTTGCTCGATGCCTTCAATGTCACGGCGAAGGCCTGGTAAATTAAAGGGCTCCAATGATGGTGAATCGAGAGGGAGTGATCCTCTGGTCACTTCATCAGTAACATCATCTTCAGTGTGCTCAGTTTTTGATTCCACTACTTCCACGGGCCTAAGGACACAAAAACCATGATATTGATGTAAAGTTCACCAAAAAAATTAAGTAAAGCGAATGCATTTGCAGCTTCTCCACAAAAGTATCAGTGCATGCCATCTAACGCAAGTTTTTAACTTTTCCATATTGCACAGAAAGATAACTGAGGTCACAGAAGAGCAGAGCCATTCAACAAATGAGAATGGTATTGACATAAGGAAAACAATTCAGTTTTTCTGGAAAAGAAAATTTTAAAAGACTGAGGTTGATATAAAACCTGCCATCAAAAACTCATTCTCAGATAAACAATAATCCCACTAACGTGAGGTCAAGGGAAATTCAGCATCCTCTATCAGGAGGTTACTTAGGCAACTCAAACGTGATCATGTAAGCTACAAAAGAGTAACTTGATCATGGCATCAAGACTCACCATCCAGGTAGTAATAAATGGTGGTCCAATGCACAAGGTTGTCACCAATGTTGGTTTAGAAAAGGTCAATTTTCGGGTGTTACCTCACAAGCTGAGAACTTGTTTTCATGACTCGAATCCTAATCACATAAAATGCAAAGGAACAACTTCATTGGGCTACCAAGACCCACCCGCTGGCCTTTAAATTATAATCGAACACCAATAAGGATAATATCTAGGGACAAACATAATAAGCTTGAACCTAGGTTTTTTATATGGGAGGTTAAACATTAGTACTAGTGCTTGACAGAAAATTAGAAAGTCCTTTCTGCCAAGTAATGCAAGCTAATGTGGAAAACATAAATTTTAAACGAATGTAGAAGGTTAAAGCAAAATATGCTCCCAAGAGCCACCTAATGTAGTGAACCTACGACCCCTACCATGCTGCAAAGAAATGACATTTCAAGGCATCTGAGAAATTTGCATACATAAGACATGAAACTTGGTGCCGTTCCATTTTAATCCCTTACTATGATCCCTTCACAAAATCTTACCAAACATAGCACAGTTCACACATCAAGATAGAGACAGCTGAAATGTCCCCAGCCATAATACTGCACAAGTTTAAAAAACTAGAACACCATGAAATTTATTAAATAAAAACAATGGAAAAAGTTGTTAACAACAAGTGATATTCTGACTGATCAATATAGAGGCACCAACACAAGTGTCAAATATCAGATCAATATTAGAAATAATTGATGGCTATCAAAGAATGACAAAGAAATAGAATTTCCCCGTAGATGACAAATAAAAAGAAACTAGCTAACAGACAAATAAAGTCATAATTTAGATAGGAGGCAGCTGAAACTTTACTAGAAAACAGGTTTCCAGAACTAGGAAACAGAAGTAACGATGGGCTAAAAAAAATAGAATATTAAAAACAAATTAATGGAAAATACTTCAGAACATCAAATATCAGATGAGAAAACAACAAGCCATAAAATAAAACTGTAGAATATTAAGGTACAAACCAATGGAAAAATACATGAGAACATCAAATATCAGATGAGAAAACAATAGAACAACAAGCCACATAATGAAAGATTCCAGTGGTGAGCATGTACTGAACGTGTGACCTTCAGATCTTCAGTGTGACAAACTCCCAACTAAGGACATGTTTGATCCATCCTTCATCACCTGCTAGTGCTACAACAATATGATGCCATGCACTAGGACTTTGAGAAGATAACCCACAAACAATTACAGTGACTAAAGGAGTTATGTGCCTATCATGTTTTTTGGAGGGTGTCTGCAGATTCAATAGACGACATTTAACTTATTCATATTGCCTCACCCCACATGTACTAAACCAAAATCCACCATATGGCACTTTGACCGAGTAGCTAGGGACACAACTTGTGCATCGGTGACAAAACCGATTGTTTCAACTTTCAACTATTATAATAATTCTATTACTGTTACATAAGATCCATGATAATATGCCTTTTCATACTTAAAACTTCAATATGCTTTTCATACCTAAATCTAAACATATTCCTTTATAACTTATCATTGTCAAAGTTCTTGAATGACCATAAATGACATCTTACAATTTTTTTAATTTAGCCATGCGATATATTTTCCTATTAATAATTCCAGCTTGATTGCATATTTATGTAATTACACTAAATCAAATATTATCTTGAACATTTTAGTCGAACTGAATATGTGAATGCATATGCTTCCTCATACAGTATATGCAGTATGCAAAACTGCATATACTGTATTTGGGTTTCCTTGAGATCTTTCAAGTGTTTTCCAAAACCTTGAAGCCTATCCGTAATGTTGTCAAAGAATTATTTGTTCTTTGTCTTGATCAGAACTTTTAACATTTGTCTTGATGCATACTAATCTCCCCTGGAAACGACTTTTGGCAATTCTCACCCAAGAAGTATAAATTTTCTAATATACAAGCCTCAAGAAGATGAGATGGAGGGAAAATGACAGCAAGGGCTATCACAGAAAGAAAAATCATATGGTAGATAGATATCAGACAAAGTACTAGACTAATCGTGTTACAAGAATGGAAGTAAATCATCAACACGATAGTTCTCTTGTTGAATCATCATCAATCCACCAATTATTTCATGACTAGCAAGAATCCCTAGAATACCTAACAATCATCCCCTGAACCCATGGTAGCAAGAATCACCTACCAGGATGCTGCTGCTCTGTTAATAACCTAGAAGAGTGAATTCCCTGCGCGAATGCTCTATAAAGCTGCAAGAATATACACAACTCATCCTAAAACATCAAGTATCCAGGATGTCACATCTTTGTTCCTTTTCTTGTCCAATTGAAACTGAGATCATCAGAAATCAACAACCCAAGAAGCCATATACACAATCCCCCATCAGAGATCACCAGAAAGTGGCAAGAATAGATCAAATTAAAGAAGAGATGGCAGAGAAGAGATGCGGTACGGTTACCGGCCAACGCAATCCCGTAGGGTTTGCTCGGTCTTCTCGCACTTGCGGACGAACCTGCCGGGCTCCACCTCCTCCGTCCGGCAACTCGATCGCACCACCCTCCGTGTCGAGCACCGCTCCTTGCCCTCCACGGATCGAAGGAATTTAGGGTTAGGGTTCACGATATCCCCAAAGCCCCGCCCCGAGTTCTCCTCGTCCTCCCACTTCCACCCCATTTCTCTCCCTCTCTCTCTCTCTCTCTCTCTCTCTATATATATATATATATATATATAGCAAGGCCACAGCCATGTCTGAAGGGACACGTGTGCTGTTATGTGTAGTTGAAGGTTCTGGAATAATTGCGATCATAATTTTATATATAGATCTCAATTATCTCACATTATATCCATTTAATGCTTATATATTATCCTTTAGAAGGTGCATAATAGAATAGTATAAAAATGTCCCCTCAAGTATGAGGATTCTTCGCACGTACCTATTGTTCTTTTTAATTTGCACTAAATACAGATGCAGAATATTTATATGTATTCATTTTTTATTTGAAATCAGCTTATTTGGAGATTAGAAAATGATATAAAATAGATTGTTTAATTATCATATATATATATATATCAATATTTGTATATTTTAAGTTAATAGTGTCAAAGTTCGAGATTTGGCTGGACCCAGAGGCTTAGATGGATCGACCCGGCCCGGCCCGGCCCGGCCCGGCCCGTCTTTCCATTTGCCACATGGATTTGAGTGGACCAGAAACCAATTCCTTTTTGCTTGATCTACAGTGAACCACAGTCAAGTAGGAATAGCGTTAGTCCTTTTTACTTGCCATCACAGGACACGAGAGAGAGAGAGAGTTGTGGCTTGGCATTGATGCGAGGGTGGATAATGAGATGAAGAGACGTCTCAGATGACAGCGTTGGCGACTGCAGAAAGATAGGAGGCAGTGCAGTGTAATTTGTAAGGACATGAAGAGACGGCTCAGATTACTGAATTGCTACCTCTCACTTCGGAAAGATAGGAGAGGAGCGTTGAGGGGGTGGGAAGACACAGATACAGAAAAGAAATCATATGAAGAAGACTTTCTTCTCTCTGTCGTTGTTGGGTCTTTGGGGAGGTCTGCAGACAAACACATCAGTGGACATGTAAAGCAACAAACAAAGGAACATGAAATGACTCTTCGGATGTCCGTCCACCCACTCCCACCCATGAAACGTCAACACGAAGATACAACAAGTAGAGAGAGAGAGAGAGAGAGAGAGAGAGATGAGTTTTGCATGCATGCATGCAGGTCTAGCTGTGGAAATAGGACCTGTGCTGCATGCATGGGAAAAGATGAGAGGGTTGTGATAATATCCGGCAGTGTGTTTATGTATCTGTATGGTTAAATTTAATGCTCATACTACCAAAATCATATACTCTCTCTTTATACTAACTATAATTGTTTGGTTTACTTTTGGTGTAAGATCAAAGAATGTTGGGATTTATAGAGGTCAAAAACCAAGTCCAAATATTGTTTATATACTGTTTCATGAATTTTGGACTGTTCATGCTTTTTTCTTAATTTGTACTACATAGTTAATCTAGTTTTTGGGTAAATATTAAAATACAAACGTGCCATAAGTGGATTAAAGTAATTATATTATATATATATATATATATATATATATATATATATATATTGTTTTATTGTTTGTTATGTTATTA